CCCTTTCCCCATCTCTCCAGCTCTCGCCCTTTCCATGGTTGCCGTTGCCTGAGGTGATGACCGGCGACGACCATGACTGTTGCTGTTGCACCTAGCTATTGCTTCTGTCCCTTTTCCCCCTCTACTGTCACTGTTTCGCCGGAGTCGCACCATCAACGGCAAACGAGCAGAAAATCGGCGATAGTCGTCCAAACTGGTTGGTTTCAACTATTTTTTTTTATTTTAAAAACTAAACAAAGCTGAAATCTGTTTCTGCTGAGTTGTATCGAAATTGGGGCGTTGAAGTCATTTGAGGTCGTAGTCTATGGTTTCCGGGCAGATTCGCGGTTCCGTCGAGTTAGTCGGTAAATTTTCCGGTCGAGAGCCGTCCAGCTATTAAGCCTTTGTAATTTCAACTCAGTTCATTTATACCAAAGGTCAAATTCTCGTCCCTTTCTTCCTTCTTTTCTTTACAAAGATCTCTTTTCTAATTGATGAGATTCTTGGTATTGTTGGTTGCATACTGATTTGCTTGATGCGTTGTTTGGATGCTAATATTATAGTGGTTATTTTATTTCTCTGTTGCAATGTTTCTTTAGATAGTGATGTTTGGATTTTAATTATTTATTTTGAGCTTCTAATCTAATAAGATAGAATTGAATATGCTTGTCTTTATTTATTTTATTTTATTTTGATTGAAAGGGACTTTGCAGGTTCTAATTGAGAAGTTTTAGTTTAGCAACTTGTTAATGGATTGCACTGAGCAATATGGCAAATAAACTATCTGAATTCTTGGTTAATAGCTACAAAATGACTTTTAGCCTGTTAATGACCTGTAATATAGATAACTTTATCAAGTATAATAGCTACTACGTAATACATTTCTCCCACAATAATTTCATAGCTTTGGCCTCGCAATAATTTCAAAAGTTTAGGAAGAATAATGAACAACGTTAGAGTGCTTTAGGTACACTTTTAATTGAATTATCGTGATTATATATACGTTCACGTGACATAATTATGATTCCCAAAATAAATCAAGGTACGCATTCGCGCGACTTTGATCAAACAATCTTAGTAATTAATTAAGTGTTATGGATTGTGTACACGTACGCGTGACACGATTTTGACACCCGAACAAAATGGGTACACGTACGCGTGATTCATTTCGAGATAATTCCATAAGGCCATAATCAAGTAATTAAAAGCGGTAAAAGGTAAAATGTACATAGGTTCTAAAACACGTAATTAAACAATTTAATTAAGCCATGTATGATTAAAGCGACCGTGCTAAAACTACGGAACCCGGGAATGCCTAACACATTCTTTCGGGTTAACAGAATTCCTTATCCGGTCTTCTGTGTTCGCAGACTTTAAAACAGAGTCAAATTTCCTCGATTTGAGATTTAAAATAAACCGGTGACTTGGGACATCATAAAATTATTTCAAGTGGTGACTCTAATTAATTAAGTAATCCTATTTCGAATAATATCACTTTAATTGGAAAAACTCTCCTATCCCCTCGGGAAAGAGGAGGTGTGACACCAGATATTGAAACTAACATATCTCCTTCATTAAAAGGACAAATGGAGTGATTCAAAAGCATAACTTGACACGAATTTCACGTGGAATCCATTGGAGGCATTAAAAGCGAGTTTCGGTATCGTTTGACATAAGAAACGAGGCATAACAGATGGACATTTTTGGCTATTAATGATTGTTGGAGTTTTTCTCATCTTGAAAATTTGGGATTGGGAGAATTCAAGGATGTTCTTCAAGTTTCTTCCATTGGGTAAGGTATAAACCATAACCTAAGTATTTTTCTTTGATTCATTCCCTTGGGTTAAGCTTTAATCCATGATTCTAATTGAAAACCAACTTAATTCTTTAAATCATGACCTAAGGTTATGTCCTAAATTTTAAAAATTGAAAATGAGTTAGAGGCGTTTATTTTTTGATTCCTTTTGGGGTCTTGTTCTCCTATATTAGGAGAACAACAAACTCGAATTTGGCGAGTTTTGGAGAAGTATTTCGGGAGATATGAGACCCAACTAATGTGGGTTGGACTCTTGGGTTATGAACACCCAAGAGTAATAATTTTTGCAAATTGGTTGCGCTATCGGACTCCGATTGAGCCGGTTTTTGTTTGTGTGAGCTTGTATTGGTTCGGGCTTCGCTCGAGTAACCATGGATTCGGAATTCAAGGCGGCACCAACGTTGACTTTTGTTGACTTTTTGGAGATTATATAAAGATCATAGCTTCATTTATGTAATTGGTTTCTCTTGCACTGTTTGATGTTATTAAGTCATTTTTTATTAGATTTGAGCCGTGTGGAGGCGAATTTTAGGAGAAAAACTATTTTGAAAGGTTGAGTTGGCCTAGTTGAGGTAAGTATCTTGCCTAATTTTGTATGGGGGAAACTACCCTCTAGGATTTGGGTTGATTGTGCTATTTGTTTAATGTGAAAGCCGTGTACGTAAGGTGACGAGCGAGTACACGGGCTATATGTGGTATTTGATAGATTTAGATTATCTAGACTATTTTCATGCTTTTAATTGAATTGTCATAACATGTTATATCTCTCATTGTTAATTTACTCTTACATGCTCTAATTGACGTTGTTAGCACTTGTTCTACCTCTTACTTGTTATTTTGCTCTTATATGTTTTAGTTGAAGTTATTGCTTTCATTATTGTCTTGTTACCTCTTAATTGTTGAATCACTTTTAATTGAAGTTATTATTTCAAGGAATATCATCTTGTTGAGTTATTGGTGTTGAGGTTGTAATAGCCGTTATCACATTGAGGCGGAGTTATTAATTGTTGAGATACCTTTCCTCGTTGAGCATTCCCATTCATTTTATTATTGTTGAAATTCTTGTACACACTGTGGTTGATCCATGAGCTATTTGTTATGAAAATATTAAATTGTTCGTCTCTTCCATGACTTCGTGCTTGTTTGCTACTTGCCTTAACTGTTTTACTTGCACACCTTAATTGTCACATGATTTACTTGTCCTGTTCTTTTGTAATATTTGTTGCATTCCTTTGATTATTACGTGGTTCCTTTATTGCCTTGCACTCATACCCTCTGATTGTAGAGATTCTTGTAAATTGAGTTATTGGATTGTCTATGTTAATTGAAATTGTTTGTGGATCGGGTTGCATGTCGCAACGGGGAATAAATGATTATAAATTGAAATGGTGGAATAAGGGAGGATTATGATATTTAAAAATAATGATATGGTGGGATCGGGTTGCGCTGTGCAACGGTTTGTGTACGTAATAATTGATGTTGATAAATGATAATATGGTGGAATAATGGAGGATTATGATGTTGATAAATGATGATATGATGGGATTAGGTTGTGCGCCGCAATGGATTGTTTACGTTACACTTGATATTGATAAAGGATGTTATGATGGGATCAGGTTGTGCGTCGCAAAGAATTGTGTGTGTTGTACTGGTTATTGTTGTTGTTGTTCTGATAGTTTCAACATTTTTATATGAGATTACGAGATTTGTTATTCTGGGCTTTCTGATAGTGAGGTTTGAATTCATTTTCATAAACTAACTACTTTACTTTAATTTCTTGTTTTATTTCCTTGTTCTTATTATTAAATTGCGTGAATTCACTATATTATATTCTGTTGAGTTATTGGTAACATAATAGTTTAAATAAAAATATTATTAACATACTTTATTCTATGTGCCTCTTCAAAATAGAACACGCTATCTCACTCGGTGCCTTATTATTCTAAATGGTTATCGAACTTTCACTATAATTGAGTTCTCAAATTATACTCAGCACCCTGTTAGATGTTTATCTTGCTTAAAATTATTATCATGCTTTTCCTTAACGAATTCTATATTTAATTTGTTAATTTAACTTATATTTTGTTTTGTTTAAAAATGATACTTTTACTCAATTTTATTAATTTCTAAACTAAACCCATTTTATACTATGTTTTGTACAAATTGTATATTATTTTACTTTACTTGATTTCTAAAATAAATTAATAATTTTATTTGACACCTTACTTTATTCAAGATTGTTATTATATTTTATGGTGTTTAAATATATCTTCCGTTCATCTAAATTGGTTGCAAAGTACATGATAACACGTGGGCTTGGTCGTGCGAAGGTGATTGTTATTGTGCGCACGAGGTGCCATATGTGTAAGATTTAAAAATTATGGTCCATGACTTGTGGTTTATGAGATGTGGTACCGGAGGGTAATTCTTGTTGTAAGTCCATGCGTTGGGAGCGATTTGATTATTTGAGTTGTCATCCATTTTTCCTTATTTGAGTTCATTTACATCTCATCGATGTTCTGATTATGTTGTTTCTTTATTACTCGTTTACTACTTGCTGCCATTTATATTTCTATTACTTCATTGTTGGTTGTAAATCAATAATTTTTTCGTCGCTGGTGTTACATTGATTTTCTTTCCATTGTTAGCTTATGTATATCTGGAGCAGGTTTTTATGTCTAGTAGAGGTCTTGACCTGGCCTCGTCATTACTCTACCGAGGTTAGGCTTGATACTTACTAGGTACCGTTATGGTATACTCATGCTACGCTTTTGCACATTTTTGTGCAGATCCAAGTATTCTGATTGTATTGTTGAGAGTTGCGTCTGCGCGGCGGGAGACTTCAAGGTATACCTGCTTGACGTTCGCAGGCCTTGGAGTCACAATCTTACTTCATTATGTTACTTTTAAATTGTAATTGAAAATAATATTGTGTTTAAAAATTCTAGTGTGTTTTAGTAGTGCTTATTACTCCGTACTACATGTTTTGGGAAATGTATAACTATTGGTCGCTTGCGGCTATGTATGTCATTTAATAATTTATGATAAATGATTAAATAGTTCAATTCTGTTATTAAATCAGCATTTGTTAGGTTTACCTAGTCTTAGAGATTAGGTGCCATCACGACATCCTAAAGTGGGTAATTGGGATCGTGACATTAACAGTATAACAATAAGTTTTTTACACTGAGATTAAGAGCACGACTTGCAGCACCAACAAGTAACTCTTTAAAATAAATCTAATTTGGTAATATGAAAAATAAAGTAAATAACTTGACATAATGAGTTGAAATGCATTGGTGGTAGAAAATTTAACACGAAATCGATAATATTTTGGGCACATTACTAGTCTCAAGAGGGAGAATGCACCTTAATTTTAAGTATGAACAACGGCATCAGCCAGCATCAGACCAAGCTAGACTTGTGCTGGAGTTGTAAGGTGCAAAAAATCTGGCCCAACTGGAAGCCCTTTAGCATCTACACATCTCAGGTTCGGAAGCTTAAGCCCCAGCTGACCTTTCCTGACCACCTCCATATATGGCCCTGGTGCTGTCGCCAATGCCACCTACACGCACAACAACAACACAATAACCAATAAAGATTAGTCAAAATCTTGATATAGCTTCGAGTTATATAGGGACACATCTTAAGAAATTCTCCATAATGACATAGGAAATACATGAGATTAATCGAATAGTAAACTATTCACATTACAACCAAGAGACTTGGTAGGATGGTCCCTCTATCTTTAATCAAAGGTCTCGGGTTTGGGCCCTGAAATCAAGACTTCTTGACAGTGAGCCATTCACCCCATAGTGGACCTACTCGGCACTAATCTGGATTAGCCGAGCTAGAAAGTTTTGAATACCAGATGGTTAACATGAGCATTGACTTTCACTACGAATAAAGATCTTTTCCATTACCTGAACAATAGGAAGTGTAGGTAGCTGCAGATCCTCGCGCACATGTTTGAAGAATTTCTTCAATCTGCCTTTATACAATGTAGCATCTTCAAGGTCCACTGTGTCACTCTCGCCCTGGTACCACAGCATCCCTCGTATTGTCCCTCCGCTTTGTAAGGCCGCCTTCGTCCTCCTTGTCATTTCGTTGTAGAGACAACTACCACGAGCCCATTGAGTAATATTTGTGCCTCCAATAGCACACGGGACCAAGCCAATCACTCCAATATTCTGGTCCCTCTTCAAGAGTGTATTGGCAAATGACATACCAGGACCAACCCCACAAGTTTTGTTCACATCTATGTCTTTGTGTAAAGGTTCTTTAGCCTCAACCCATATAAGTTCTGCGCTAAGTCGGACGATAGATGGATTGGGCTGACATTCAGGTGGAACGTCACCATCCCAAGTCAAATTAACCATACCTGCTGGGTTGGTCTGATTAAAGACTCCACCACGGCCTGACATGTTGCTCTGTCCTGATAAAATGAATATGTTCTTGACATTTGAAGCACAACCATTTGTTACGTTAGCCGTGGTAACCCACACAGTGTGCACCAAAAACATCAACAAAAGAAGGGAATGCATTGTTTTCGAGAACACAGATTCAAATTTTGAGACATCTTCAAGTCTTCCTTTTAAACAAGAGAGACTCCGAGGAAAGGAGGGTTGTTGGCCTATCCTTTTAGCAAGATGATTGATTCCTTTGTTAATTCAGTATTAGGTTTATTCCACTTGCTACTACTATTTTTATTCAACACTACTAAATCAGCTAACTTTGGATAAGAGTACTACAAGACAAAACCTTTTAGATGTGCATGAATATAATGTTTCCACATTAATCAAGCCCTTGCCCTGCCCCCTACCCTAAACTTACACATTGGGCACTATCGTGGACGGTTTTTACCCCTTTTTTTAGTAGGATCCTGCGTCAATTCATTTGAATTTCAAACAAAACTGTACCAGAAGACCATTTTACTGACATTATAGCTCCTCCCGGGTTAGCAGCAAGGTTAAATTATTTTATATTTATCAAACCGGTCCCTCCTGGGTGGGTTAACAAATGGGTTAAATTAATCCCTTGCCCTGCCCCCTAGCTACCCTAAACTTACACATTTTGTCGACCAAGCATGCTATTAAAATGATAGACTTTATAAATGTAGAAGTCATTTTTAGTTTACATGATATCGTGCACGACCCAAGTAATATGGTACGTAAACTACTCCTCCAGCTAAGAAGCCAATGCTACTCTTTTTGGACTGAATTGGTCTGTATTGAATGGTTACTGTTGGTTTCCCACGTCGGATAGGGAATATTTGGTCTTTCACAATCTTCACCTTATAATAAGTTAGCTTTTAAGGTTGAGTTAGTCAGGTCTATAGATTTATTTAGTCTCAAGGTCTATAGAATTATTCTAAAAGGAATCAATAAAGTCCCTTCTTCTTATTTGCCCCATGGTGCTAAAGGACCTTATGAAAGTACAGGGGGCTTGAATTGTCGATTTTTCTTTTTGTATCCTAAGTAGTTGACTAGTTTACTAATTAGTCGACTGAAGGTAAGAACAAAATATAAATAAAGCAGAAATAAAATGCAGGAATTAAAGACACCAAAATTTTTATACTGGTTCGAATTTAATGTGAATCTTACATCTAGTCCCCTTGAGTTGCAAAGTTGTTCTCTTTCAGTATTTGAAGTTTCTCTATACAAGAGAGTTGATGTATCTTTACATCAACAACTTAGTCATTATGTTACTTCTCGCTTCTTGATACAATGTCTCACTAGTGATTTTTCTCTCTTTCTTCTCTCCCTAGTTACATAGTAGATCTAGAGTGAACTACAATACTTGTTTGGAGTAGAACAAAAAGAGTGATAGTGGTTCGTTCAAAGTATATATTGCTCCCTTGACATTCTCTGTTTTATTCTTGAGCTTTGGCTTGGCGAATCTTTGGCAAACCGTTGAAGGATTTGCAGTCCCAAGGGAAATTAATCCTTGGAATTGAATCTGTTATGATTCATTCCAAGAATAAGTACAGAACTTCCATAAAAGGTCCATGACTGCTGGTCGTTTCCTTTTTCGAAATGAGATTTGTCATAAATTCTCCTTGAGTTGTTCCTTGATTCATGGGATTGATAGCCTTCCTTTTTCAATACATGTCTTCAGCAATCAAGGCAACGGTAAATCTTGGTCCTTCCTTCAATGTATCAATCATCCCGGTTGTCATATTGCTTCAATCTTGAATCTTCCTTACTTGCTTCCGTTAACAAATCTTTATCTTGATTCTTTTATTCCTTCCTTTCTTGACTTCGTCTGTACTTCATTGATAGATTTGCTCGAATCCTTTTTTCATCTCCCTTGATCCTGCACCGTAATAATATGTTATATTTCATCATTGAAATCTATATCTAACATCTTATAGACTGGACATGGCTGGTATGGTTTCAATAAGGCTCAAACACAATGGAATTTTTATTTGTATAGCTAGACAGCCCCTATTTTTGGTAGCGGTAAAGGTTTTATTTCGTATATTTTGGGAATACACAATACGTGTATAGTCCAATATCTTGTACTCCCTATGTATTTCTTTGTTTGTTGTAGTTTAACTTGGCACAAACATTAAGAACGAAGAGAAGACTTTTAACATATGTGGCCTTAAATTAGCCATAATTAATAACTAATAGCGAGACGTTTAAGGATATAAAAATGCAATAATAAATAGGTTATATTTCTTATAATTATACCTAGTAAACGCCCCTTAACAAGTATGATGTATCATTTTAAATTACGACTTCTATCCTCTATACATAGTAAGTTCTCTTGGATAGTTAATTAATTATGCCTATGGATAGCTTGCTTATAAAATCTTCTAGCTTATTCCAGTTTTGTATACGGTCAAAACCAATTAGTCCGTCGTACGGACTGGTCGGTATGATAATACTTTGATCGAGTGGCAGCTTCGTAATACCAGATCGAGGTCCGAACTCAGGTCATCAAGTTTCAAATTCTAGGACCGATCAATGACAAGCTCGGTATCATTATCGAGCTCGTATTCAAATCGAACTACGGGGCGAGGCAAAGTTATCGAGCCTAAAATGCATAGATCGACCGACACCGACTCCGACCCCGAATCAGTACCAGACTCTGAGTCAGAATCGAGCTCGAGTCAAGATCGAGATCTCGGGTCAATATCGAGCTCACAGACAAGAGCCGTTGTAACCGCACTAGGAGAGAGAATCTTGGCGGGAATTAGGAAAAAGCTAGTTCCTCATGGGTTCCCCACTATGTATTCTTTTTATATCTAAAGTAGGATCCCCCACTATAAATGGAGATGATTGTTGTTTCTGTGAAACACATACATGGTAACAAAAGATTATCCCTTATATTGAAAGATCAATCTTTTGAGTTCTCTTACTTAACTTCCTCTTTTTAACAATTTTATTTTTCGTTCTTATAGTCAAGATTGGATATTTTTATTTCTCTTTACGATTTGTATCAAGCTATACCACATACCCTTAGAACTACATATAAATTTAACTCTATCTGATTTTTCGGGTAAATAGTTTGGCGCCCACCGTGGGGCTAAGGATAACAGTGGTTATTTGATACAAATATGTAAAAACACACCGTTTTGCGCTTGTTTCCGAAAGTATCTTGGATTTCGGGTTAGCAACGACCAACTATCAATCAAATGGCCTTACCTATCGACAACGAAGCTGGTCTTCAAGATAAGAACAACAACTTGACACCCAGTACTGAAAGACCACGTGTGAACGCCGTTGGATCTCAAATCGAAGTGCCGGTAGACATCAATTCGCATATGGCCATTGAGGCGAACCTACATTCTGAACCTGAAAATAGCATTCATGGTAGCACTCGGTCTGCAACTCGAGATACCTATAACGTCGAGGAAAACGGCGTCAGCTTGTGTATGATTTTCGAAATGTTGCAAGCTCAACAAGCAGCAATAGCACAGTTGCTGAGTCAAACCCAGATATCGAGTAGACAGCGGAACCGGCTATAGTGAAATCAAACAAGTAGGAGTCTGGGACTAATCCCAAAATTGCTAAGATGTTCAAAGAACTGACCAAACGAATAGAATAGGGAGAAAGGAGGATCGAAGCAAACGACAAAAAGATGGAAACATACAACTCCAGGGTTGATCAGATCCCGGGGGCACTACCAATATTGAAGGGCTTAGATTCCAAAACATTCATACAAAAGCCTTTCCCCCCAAGCGCGGATCCTAAACCGATCCTAAAAAAGTTCCGCATGCCCGAGATTTCTAAATATAATGGAACTACCGACCCCAGCGAACATGTCATCTCATACACATGTGCCATCAAAGGGAACGATCTAGAGGATGATGATATCAAATCCGTATTATTGAAGAAATTCGGTGAAACCTTGTCAAAGGGAGCAATGATATGGTATCATAATTTGCCATCTAATTCTATCGATTCTTTTGCTATGCATGCGGATTCCTTCATAAAAGCACACGTCGGGGCCATAAAAGTCGAGACCAGGAAGTCGGACATGTTTAAGGTAAGACAAAAGGATAACGAAATGCTAAGGGAGTTTGTGTCTCGTTTTCAAATGGAACAAATGGATCTACCCCCAGTCATAGACGATTGGGCTATTCAGGCTTTTACCCAAGGTTTGAACGAACGAAGTTCGACGGCTTCACAGCAGCTAAAGCATAACCTGATCGAGTACCCGGCTATCACTTGGGCCGACGTGCACAATCAGTACCAATCAAAAATTAGAGTCGAAGATGATCAGTTTGGGTCTGAATCCGTTGCTCGAAGGGATATCAATCAAGAATTGAGACGTAACCCAGGACAAAGCAACAAAAGAAGTGATCGAGGTCAAGGGTCTCGAGGGATGATGAACAGAAGTGGGTTCGACAGGCCTACCAGATCTAAGGAAGCGCCTCGGTTATCAGAGTAGAACTTCAGCATTGATGCATCCGCCATCATATCGACTATCGGACGCATCAAAGACACTAAATGGCCTTGACCCATGCAGACCGATCCTGCCCAGAGGAATCCCAATCAAATGTGTGAATATCATGGCACCCATGGACACAGAACGGAAGATTACAGGCAACTAAGAGAGGAGGTAGCCCGGTTATTCAATAAAGGGCACCTTCGAGAATTTTTAAGCGACAGGGCGAAGAACCATTTCAAAAACAGGGATTTCAGCAAACAAAACGAACAAGAATAACCACAGCACGTCATCCATATGATCATCGGCGACGTCGATACCCCTCAAGGGCTGGTGCTTAAACGCACTAAGACATCGATTGTGAGGAAAAAGTGATCTCGAACTCAGGATTATGCACCCGTAGGAACTTTGTCCTTCAATGATGAAGATGTAGAAGAAGTCATACAACCTCATAACGATACACTGGTAATATCCGTACTTATGAATAAAACTAAAGTTAAGCGTGTGTTAATTGATCAAAGTAGCTCGGCCAACATCATTAGATTGAAGGTTGTAGAACAGCTCAGTCACAGGACCAGGTCGTACCCGCAACCCTGGTTCTAAACGGATTCAATATGGCATGTGAAATCACCAAACGCGAGATAATTCTGCCGATAAACGTGGCCGGGACCATCCAGGAAAAGAAGTTCCACATAATTGAAGGTGACA